TAATGTCCGTATGAATATATACACGACGACACCTTGAATTCTTCTTGACAGTTCTTTTGATAACATTATTTCATATTCATTATAATTGGCACATGACATAGCAAAAATATTGTGAACATTATTCATGGGAATTAAATTTTAGCAAACTTAGGGCAATATGAACTGAAAATGAAGACACACCGAAAGTTCTGCCACACTCCATGCACTAGTTGGTACGTGAAAAGCAACGATTGTTGCAGCTGGAATTATTGCAGCTGAAAATGAATGAAATGAAATATTATATTCTTATTACCGTATCCAATACTAGAGAATGATTAGTCTGAAGAAATGGACCACCATCTTGCAATATAAATTTGGCGCTTTCATTGGGGAAAAAGACCGCTCAACTTTCCTGAATCCCTCATGCGAAGGATGCAATCATGATTTGATAGATTCACTCTCATGTCTTATCTAGGTTTCGGCATAGACTTTTGTTATAACCACAAGAAATTTAGTATAGGGAAAGAAGGAAAAAAAAGACGATACATGCATATTCTAGTTCTGGTATGAATATAATCTCTAAAATCGTGATTCTCTTTGTTTTTCTTTTCACTTAATTAGTAAAAAGCATATAGCTTCTTAAAGTCAAAAAGAAGACTCGTTTGTTTCTCTATCGATATATCTATTTGTCATCTCATTATTAATCCCAAAATGCCATTTCTCCTACCAATTATACATGCATGAATGACGACCGGGTGGTCGAAAAAGTTGTAAAAAAGCCAATAATTTTGGTGGCAGGCTGCACGTGGCATGATGCGGTAGGGTTTTGGACAGTTAATGTGGAGCTAATAAACAAGAAATCTAGTTACGGCCATGGTTGGTCCCTTAGTAGGATAAGTGCAAGTGCCAACCACTAAAGAGAGTGTGGACCATGAAAAATGGTATTCATCACATGAGATGACTGAAAAAAGCAAGACTAAATTGGTACACATGCAGCTCAGCCAGCCAAGCTATGCTATCTTCTTAATGGCAATGGCAATTGCCAATGCCACCATACATTGTAACATATGCATTAGCCTTTGCTTCAGGGCAATGGCGAGTGATATCATTGGCTTTTGGGGCTGAATTTGATTGGTCCCCTTCGTTTGTCCTTCATTGAGTTAATGGTCTTTGGTGGCCAATCACTTAATTTGTCGTTGGAATATCTTTGGTATATATTTTCTTCTCTCTTAATTGCTTTGAAGAAACATGAAGGATTCGGATCAGGTTAGCTGACCTTGGCCTTGGGTTAAGAAAACCGACATTTGGTGTGATTTTGGTGATCAGATAAAGCTTGAAGCTTTCCTATAATGTGTATTAATGTAGCCATGTGCTCGAATAAAGTTTCATGATGATGAGTACCTAACTATCATAAAGGATTATGTTTTTTATTTCCTGCTTTTGGAGAGTTAGGAATCATTTTTTATTTTGATGACAAGGAATCTCGACAAGGAATCTCTCCACTTATTGGAGGACTAACATATCAACTTACAATCATGATTTCTCCACTTAAATATGATATTTTTAGGATATGAATTCAAATTAAAATCACATTTTTCAAAAAAGTTTTGAATAAAGATCTATTTACATTAGTGTAAATAATACATTTTTTGGTTATTATATTAAAAATATTATCTTGAGTTTTGATCCAACATTGATAATAAAAAAAATACAAGACTTATATTAATATAAGTGAATTCCTCTTCTTTTTTAATATATATATATATATATATCTATCGTTAAATTAAATATTCAAATCAAATTTGTATAATTATTATTATAAATTAATTGAATTTCTATATGCTTACAAAAAATTTATAATGTGGATCCATATCATTGCGAATAAATTGGTAAAATTGGAGTTTTGTTAGAAAGATAGAGAGAATATATATGCACACAATATAAAGTAATATATATGTTAACAGTTATATAATTTATTAATAAAATATTAAAATTTTAATTTTAATGATCAAATATCAATTATTTACATTTATGACTATCTCAAATATATATTAAAAAAAGAAGAAGAGTATATACATAGTATCTTCTTGTCAAATTAAGTACGGGTTGGGCTGATTATCCGTACGATTACACCTAATTAAGTTGGACTTTTATTTTTGTTAAACGACACTGCTTCCCAGCCATCTAAATAGACTTTCCGTCGTTCCTTTTTCCATTTTTGTTTGTAGTGCATCTTCGATTTAATTTATATTATAAAAATCATATAATATTTATTAATTATGTAATCTATTGATAAAATATTAAAAAGTTTAATTTTAATGATTAAAAATTGATCTTTGATAATTTTAAATATAAAAAAATAGATTTGATTGTATTAATTAATCAAGTACAAATAATTAAAAAAAATTACAGTTTTCTTAGATAAGACCAATCTTAGATTGTTTGCTTTCGTTGTTTTTCATTTCGGGTTCTAAAAGGCAAGAGATATTGGTTAATTTGTTCATTGACTTGGGTTGACCTTGGATATTGGTGTTCGTTCAAAGGCTCGGAGCCTACTCAGAAAATAACTAGAGATTGGCCATTCAGAGAGAATTGAATACAAAAGAAAGAAAGAAGAAACCTGGAATGGTGGAAGAGGGTGTGTTGGCGAAGTGGGTTGGAAATGGGCCTACAAAATTTCAGTTGGTTCGACAGACGATTTGGGTGAAATGAAGGGAAATGAAATGATGAGAGGGCTCGATAGGGAGAGAGACATCTGTCCCACAGTCATATCCATGTGCTTCTTCATCCAAATTTATCAAATATAAGGGTTAACAAAAAAAGAGAGAGTTAAATTAGGGATGGCGACCGAATTTTTTTTTTTTTTTATGAAATTTTTTAAAATCAACTTTTTTAAATTAGATTTCAAATTTGATCGGATAATAATAAAAAGGTCGAAGTCCAGTCTGAAGTAAATTCGTTTCGATTCAATACATAAAAAAATTATTTTTTAATTAATTATTTAATTTTATATTTATGGATATTTAATTTTTTATTTACATTAAAAATAATATTTTATGTTTAAAAATAATATTTTATTAATTTTAAATTTTATATAATATTAAATTAAATCAAATATAAAAAATAAAAAATCATCGATCAAATACAAATATTATAAGTATAAAATTTGATTAGGTTTAACATGATTCACTTCGACCTAATCTATTATCATCGCTAGAGATATTACAAAATAAGTAAACAGTTAACTCTTCGGAGAAGGCAAAAGCCATTTTCATGCATTTCAATTTGGGCAATGGAAACCAGATGAATGAAAAAAGAAAAAGGTGTGAGGGAAAGGGACTCTAATAAGAACCCATTACTGGAAATTCTTTTCCGACCTACAATTTTTGTCAAAAATGTATTTGATTTCAATTTGGGCAATAGAAACCCGATGAATTCTCTCCATAAATTCAGTGGTTCGTTTCTTCCTCTGTTGCCTTTTTTGTTCACCCCTTCCTTGGCCAAATTTCGTATTCTATATATGTTCTTTTTTTCATCTACAAATTACTTCTGAACTTTTCCTAAAACCCTTTCAAGCAAAAATCCCAAACAAAACACTATTAAAGGAAAGTACATACTTTTTATAATCTACAATATTACAACAATAAGAAAAACTATAAGAACTAATAAGAGATAAAAGCTGAAGGTCTATTGATACAAGTAATTATTGAAATTCAAATTCTAATACTTACCGTCCTTTAAAAAGATTTTTGCTTTTCTAATGATCAAACATTACTAAAATATAATAGATGATGATAGTCTATTTGTAGATGATAATCTTCTTTGTTATGATGGAAATATATTCCGATATTGAATCGTAAAGAATTTGAAAAACCAAGGGAATATGCAATTTTATTCTTTTTAGGTCAGTTTCATATATTCCACAATTCCAACTAATCTAAATGCCAAGGAGGTACAAGTCGTATAAAACCATAAATTTCCCATGACTATAATCTGACCCATATATGTTCTTCTTTCAATTGTTAGCAGTACTTTGATTTAATTCGTTTCAAAATCTATATCCAGCTGATCAACATTTTGAGTTATTACTTGAGATTTCAACAATGATCGTAGATTCCAATGACAAATCACACGTTTCCATCTATCGCTGTTTGGACCCGAATTTGCATATGATTCAGTAGAAAAATATGTTAGAGAATTTAATTTCATTGATCAAAGGAAAGGACAACACGGTGATTGAAAATTGACCTAATTGGTAACCACATCTTTCTATCAAATAGAGAGTATTAAATTTAAATTTCCCTCTCCTATGTTATCAAGAATGAAGGACTACAGGTGGGACAAGTTTTTAGAAGGTTTGGGAAATATAATACTTGGACCATTATTTTACAGGACCACCGCCCTATTTGATCTTTTCCCGTGGCCTTCCTTTGATCACGAGAAATTTCTTTCTTTCCTTGTTTTAACTCTCCTTTTCTCACTTAAAATTTCTGTTTTAAATTGTTTTCAAAGGTAGGATCAACTATAATAATAATAATATGCATATATATGTGGTATAGAAGTACTTGTAAGAGAAGCCGTGACGGGCAGTTGAAATTGGCATTTTAGTGGTCACATGAAGTTTGGTGTTACTGTCCGAAAGCAATTAGGTTTACATGAACCAGATTTAATGGTATTTTTGACCATTTGTTTTTTCCAATTTGATTTCCCACTTTCATGCATGGAATTCTCTCGAAAAAACTTCTTAACCAATTAATTTCCATTTAATGTCAAAAAAGAGAAAATCACACTACTGTACATGGGTCATCTTTATCACAATCGTTTTTTCTTTTTTTCTTTTTAATTTATGTTTAAACATTGAAAAATTCTTATATTCAATGAAAGTGAAGTTTTTAAATTTTATTGTAAAAATTAAAAGAATGATATAGTGATATATATATATATATATATATGATAACCTTTTAACCGTGTTTATAAAATTAAAATTTTTTTATTGTAATTAAGCTTTTAAACGTGTTTATAAAATTAAAAAACTTTTATTGTAATTAAGTGATATTTATCTACAAAAGGTCGGCAAGGCACAAACGTATAGTATCTAATTTCGGCTTTAATTCCTTGATTCATGCCCTAACCTCCACCACAAAATTTTAAATCCTCCTTTTGTCCCACCGTATCCGTGATTATGTGTTTAATGGGAAACTTTTACCTTACGATTTAATTTTCGTTTTAATGATCCAACTATACAAAAAGATAGTAGTAACTTTTTTCTAGTGTTATTTCGAATCTCGTGTCAATGTTTGTCCCATATCAAGTAAAAACTTTCATAATATGAATTTGGTTACGGTATCATTTTTTTTTTTTTTTTACTTTTTAGATAAGACTTTAAAGCTCATAAAGATTGTGAAAAGATTTGGGTTTGACTTCATTATTACAATTACTTTTTTTTTTTTTAATTTATATTAATTTTCATGACTCACAACCTTTTTCTCCAAGTGGCTGCTTAATCATCCACGTCATCAAAGTCTCCCAGAGTATTAGATTATCTCACGAGGCTCATGGGGTTGAACCCTACCAAACTCAACGCATTTCGAGTAGAAGCAGATAGCGGAAGCAAAGCGAAGGCTCAACGAAACTCCAAAACGGAAAAAGAGATAGAGAGAGTTGAGCTAACAACAAATATATCCCATTGCTTTGAGGAAACCCCAACTCCCCCACTCACGTGCCATAAACAGTGTAAAATTCCACTTTATCTATATCCGCCTTTATCACTCGCATACAAAAATTATTAATTAACATATTTCTCACGTGCCTAAGAATATGACAAAATCTAATAACATAAAATCTCAAAACACTAATTAATTTCTCAGATATTAATAAATTCCCTATTGCTTAAATCACCCAAAGATATTTAATCAGCAATTTACTTAATTACTGTTTATAAAATAAAAAAAGACAGTATCTGCCATACTTCATCCATGGTTGAAGTTGAAATATAATCAAACATTATCTATCCAACTTTCAGCATGCAATAATGAAAATTGTTCACACATTTTTTTTTCAAATTCAGATAGTTAGATTGAGGAAAGATAGAACTATAAAACGTGGACGTGGACGAGGGTCGGTAGTCTAACCTCTATTTGGAAACCCAGCCAAAAGCAGAGGAAGGTGCAACTGAGGTTGACTCACTTCCCCCTCTCAATGTCTCTGCAAGTTGGCTTTAATTGGTTGGTTGGAACTGCCAGTTCATTTCCTAAACAAAGAGAATCTTCAAGGGGTACACCTTGGGGGACCTCTTTGGGTCCCAAACTACCTTAACATCTTTAATGTAAAAGAATGTGAACTTTTTCATGTTTTATGCTGTACCCTACCCAAATACAATCGTGACTCTACAATGCTTATTTTCGACTAATATTTTAGGGTATTTTTCTGTTGCATACAGTTACAGAGTTTGCCCTCTACTGCTCTTTCTTTCCCCCTTTTCGGCTCTGCTTTTTTGTAAAGCTAGCAAGATGCATATTATCATCAAATGATGAGACACGTATCAAAAACAAAAAGTGGTCGGCCAAAAAAAAAAAATACAGATAATGATAACGCGTCGGCTGATAACATCTGAGAGAGGAAGGAAGGAGGTGGAAGGTGGATGTGGGGATGAGAAGCCAATTGGAGCATATGGCGGGATTGCATTTTCACACTTATGGTTCTGATTGCGTGGCAAAAACAAACAACTTCAGCCCTTACTAGGAAGGAGAAAAGGGAATGGTATTGAAATGGAATTTTATTTTTTGGAGATGTTTAGCCAAAAAAAAAAAAGGATAACAAAAGACTTGATTGGAACACGTGGCATCCACAAATCAAAACATCCTCCTCATTCTACTATGGCTGTCTGTTCTGAAGTGAAAACACCAAAACAAATTTTTCACAAAAATCCGTCCTAGCGAAACGCCTTGTCTATATATCATACACACCTTCACATGCTTTAATGATGGAGCTCCCACAACCACCAGCTGCACCATTTCACCAGCCGAAGCACCATTACTGTTGCCATTACCTGCTTGCATTCAAACTACTCTCTCTCTTTCTCTTTCTCTTTCCCTCTCCTCTTTTTTCTCTTTCTCTCAGAAATTTCATTGCTGCAACTGGCAACTGCATTGCTGCACCCCATGTCAGCCAGTTTCACTGCTTTCCATTTTGGTGGTCTTTCTCCTTTCTCTTGTCATGTTTTTCTTGTTCGTTGTTTATCATTCTTGTCCAAACAAGATGGAAAATTTGCCTCATCCTTTTCCCACTTTCACTTCTACTTTTAATGATATATTAGTTGCTTTAGCTTGCACACTCGTTTACGTCAGGAGAAAATTGAGATAAAGGTTATAAAAAGGAAACCTAAACCCGTGTCCCTTTTCACATGTTTGCTATATATAACCAGTCCTTTGGGACTTAACCCCCTAGAAGTTTAATAGCCTCTACGGTAGTTGTAGCCTTGAGGATTCAAAACAACTAATATGTCATTTTCCTGTACTAAAAACTTCTTCCAACGGTTCTGTATTGATGAATTTCAAATGGGCAGTGACATTCATGGTAGTTTCTTCTCAAGTGATCTCCTTCCATCACTTGGGGCCAGAATTAACCAGGCGACCAAGCTACGTAAATACATCATTTCCCCTTTCAACCCTCATTATAGGTGATGACCATGGCCACGGTTTACTTCAATATTTGTTGCAATATATCAAAGCTGCTCCTTATGTCCTATTCCTTATTACAGGGCTTGGGAGATGTGGCTGGTTGTTCTTGTCATTTACTCTGCCTGGATCTGTCCATTCGAGTTTGCGTTCCTAACTTACAAGAAAGATGCACTTTTCATTGTTGACAACATTGTCAATGGCTTCTTTGCTGTTGACATCATTCTCACCTTCTTTGTTGCATATCTCGATAGCCAATCTTATCTCCTTGTTGATGATCCCAAGGAGATTGCCATCAGGTAAATAAGATTTTGCAGCATTTGATCGCAAAGTCCCTTTCAACTAAGAATAAATATATTTATATAATATTCGAGCAATTAATGAGCTTTCTTCATATGATCCATCCAACATCTAGGTACATATGTACCTGGTTTGCTTTCGATGTCTGTTCCACTGCCCCATTTCAGTCTCTCAGCCTCATGTTCACAGATCATGGCAGTGAATTTGGTCTCAGGCTACTCAACATGCTCAGACTCTGGCGTTTGAGACGAGTCAGCTCTTTGTTTGCAAGGTTTATAACCTGATCCAAACCCATGCTTTTTCTTAAAAATTCAACCGTTACAATGGGAGAACTACAATATTTACTTACAGGTTTGCTTTCCTTCAGACTTGAGAAAGACATCCGGTTCAACTACTTCTGGACTCGCTGCACCAAGCTCATTTCTGTAAGCCATTGAAACTTCCTCTTGTCTCACATCTACCACAAATATTGCTTCAGTCATTTCAAAAATGGGTTATTTTCCTCTCGGGTTAATTTCAGGTGACCCTGTTTGCAGTACATTGTGCTGGATGCTTTAACTATCTGATTGCAGATAGATACCCAGATCCTACGAGAACCTGGATTGGTGCAGTATACCCAAATTTCAAAGAGCACAGTCTCTGGGATAGATATATAACTTCAATTTACTGGTCCATTACAACGCTCACTACAACTGGTTATGGGGACTTGCATGCTGAGAATCCAAGAGAGATGCTATTTGATATCTTTTACATGTTGTTTAATTTGGGATTAACAGCTTACCTCATCGGGAACATGACAAACCTGGTAGTTCACTGGACCAGCCGGACCCGTAATTTTGTAAGTTCCCAGCTTTCAAGCTGTTTGAAATCAACATTAACCTGCCAGGAGAACTAGACATATAAAATGAGTTCTAAAGGGACCAAAAGAAATAACCCGTCACAATCAACAGTACTAGCATAACCCACCATTTGTTGTAGAAATAGTTTGTTTGTAAGACATTGTTTCTACCCCACAATTTGATAAATTTAAATGAAAAAATTTCAAGGTAAAAACCAGCTAAAAGGTAATGTCAAGATTCCTTGCCATTGTATTGACAACACAAATAAAGTATGAACACTCAGTCTTTTGTGGTTGTTGATTTAAGCATTACAAGCTTTCAGCCACTTCTTCAGACTCTATAGTATTTTCTTTTGACAAGGATGTCATCTCTAGCCTGGAAGTGCTAATGAAAAGAAACACTTTATCTATTCTTGATGCTACAGAGGGATACAGTCAGAGCTGCTTCAGAATTTGCAACACGAAATCAGTTGCCCCCCCGCATACAAGACCAAATGTTGTCACACATATGCCTAAGATTCAAAACAGAAGGATTGAAGCAACAAGAGACCCTAAATAGTTTGCCAAAAGCCATTCGCTCAAGCATTGCACAGCATCTCTTCGTCCACATCGTGCAGAAAGTCTATCTCTTCCAAGGAGTTTCTCATGACTTCCTCTTTCAGTTGGTAATACATCTCATGGCTAACTATATTTGTCCATATCATTCCTCATTCATTGTTCTCTTTTTAGGCTGAAATAGTTTCTTAAATAAAAAGCCCAGAACTATGGAGAGATCCACAATTTTTGGTGTATTTCACAGCAATGGTACACAAACATTGCTATGACTTTGAATTTCAATTTCACAAGATGCTAATGCAATTACTATTCTGTTAAAGGTTTCAGACATTGATGCTGAGTATTTCCCACCCAAAGAAGATGTCATTCTGCAGAATGAAGCCCCAACAGATCTTTATATACTTGTTTCAGGAGCAGCTGTAAGTAGGCATATTCTGATGTCTGTAGAATATATAAACCGAACAATGCCAATTTCTGACATTAATTTGGTGACTCATTGATTCCTGATTGCAGAACTTAATCTCCCATGCTGATGGTGATCGGGTATGAGATATTATTTTAACATCAACAATATTTTTCTTTATGGTAAATAAACAACACTACAAAAATATTTACACAGGTTATGGGAAAGATAGCAGCGGGGGACATGTTTGGAGAGGTTGGAGTTCTAGGTTATAGGCCACAGCCATACACAGTACGGACCACTGAGCTTTGTCAAATACTACGTCTGAATGGAACTTCACTGATGAACACCATACAAGTAAATATGGAAGATGGACGTGTTATAATGAATAATCTTTACAGGGTAAATATTTTATTAGACAACTTCTAGACTGATGGAACACTTCTTATTTTTATAAACAACAAGAAATGATGGTTTGTTTTCGCAGAAATTGAATGGGCTAGAGAGCAGCAGCTTTGAGGAGCCCAACATAGGTCCGGGGTTAGTCCCAAATAAAAGGCTGGGGGGAGGAGAAATGGGAGGAAGTTGTTTGGATGCTGGATTTGAAGATCAACCACAGAGATATGCATCAAAGAAAGAAGCAATAGACATAGATTTCTTGGAATCAGAGGCTATAGAGAAGAGTCACACAGGTAGATATCCAAATAAAGGAACAACAACAGCAGAGGATGACCAAACAGCTCTCCATGAGGCTGTTCGCAAGGGGCATATTGAAATGGTTAAGATTTTGCTCGAAGGAGGAGCAAGTGTACATAAACCGGATGCAAAAGGAAGGACGCCAAAAGCATTGGCAGAACAGCAGGGAAACAAGAACATACATGACCTCTTACTGAGTTATGAAAAGAAAAGAAAGTTAGATGAACATAGGATAGAGATTATTGGGCCAGAAATAACAGATGACCCCAAGAATAGTCAAAACAAACATAGAAGTGGGGCCCAAAATTTCTTCAATTCACCTAGTTATAAAGAGGTAATAATACCAAACAAGAAAAGAATTACTATTCACATGCAGTTCCAGACCAGCAGTACATCAAGTAGACAATTCGGAAAGTTGATACTCCTACCTGATTCAATACACGAGCTGCTCAGAATGGCTGGTAAGTCCAACCAGAAAAGAGCAATTGAAAATAAACCTGAACATGTGAGAAAAACAATTATAAATCAACTTCAAATGACCTGAATCCAAATAAATTAAAGAAAAGAAAAAAAGAAAAAAGAATAAATAGGGATTTTTAAACCATGAACTGTAACCAGAAAGCCACTTTAGTTCAATTACCTGCTTTTGCTTTATTCATTTCTCATTCCATGACCTTCTGAAACTGCAGGGGAAAAGTTTGGAGGCTACACATTTACAAAAGTCGTTAATGCTGAGAATGCAGAAATAGATGATGTACATGTCATTCGAGATGGTGATAATCTGTTTCTCCTTCAAGATGAAGGTGACAATGTAGATTTCAATGTGACCTGATGATAATAAAAAGGCAGTCAAGAATAGATGCAGACAGTTTGTAACCTTTAGGCAATGCCAATGATGATGAAATAATAACAAAAATATAATAGAATCAGTTGATTTGGGACTCCGAATTGCAATTACTCTGTTAAATTAGAGAAGTCAATTACATATTGTTGTATTTCACTCAATATTTTGGTGGGCAAAACCATCCACGCATAACCTCAAAAAATGTCTATCAGAACAAATACATGTTACAGTCCTGTCATGATTAGGTGGGCCTGGTAAATGCAACATAATTTTTCTTTTTGTAGGCATCTAAGTGCAGATCAACTCATTGATGAGTTGAACACATGTAAAGTCAAGCCCCCGCCTCGCTAAACTCGGGTTCTGGGCAACTAGGCATGCACTGTCTTCATAACAAGATAAACTACTAAACCATGTCAAAGACCAATAGATTCTGTGCCCAGGCCAAGAGAATTAAGCTTTTACATGCTTCCCTTCATGTTAATGCCTCCCTCTATATGGCATCGTTAATTGGTAAAGGATGAGCTTCTGTGTTAAAAAGAAATTCATCCAGTGGTATAACAGAGCTATCCCCAAAGAGCAAGTACAAATACTTCAACGTTTCACCAAGGAAAAAAGTCTCCATCTTGTCTCTTCTTTGAGGAGGAAGTGAAGTGACATCATCTAAAGAAGTGTATCCACCAGAATCCACCTTTGTGTATTTCTCAAATGACTCAAAGATCTGCCAACCCCATTCACGATATCTGCAATGCATGTTGCACACATGTGCACTCTATAAATATAGAAATTAAATAACAGGATAGACAGACTAGAAACTAAAGAACTAAAAGAGCATACTTTTGATCTTGAGTGATACGATACAATACAAACAAGGATTCAACAGTTTCAGGACGCAATAAATTGTGACGGTCTGCGTGTTTGATTATTATGTCATTTACATATTCTGAACTCTTATTTCCACCATCGAGACCACCTTCAAAATATTCCTGTTTAAATCAGATCAGTCAGCAGATCATTAACTATCATAATTATATAATATGCAAAAATAGAGTGATCATGCATGGATGAATAAGCAAATATGAACCATTTTGGTGCACATGCAAATTAACTCAATCCTATACTGCTTTCATGAAACAAGTTAATTGAAACCAACTAACCTTAGTATGGAAGTATGCAATTTCAGGAGCCAGACCGGTGGAAGTTACTGAATACATCTCAAAACATGTCTTGGCTAAATCTTCTGCAAGTTTCAAGTTTTCCAGGTCTTCAAATGTAAGAAGGTTGTCCTTCATAGCTTTCTTCTTTGTGATGCCTTTAGTGGCACCAAGTGCAAGTATACCAGGCAAAAAACACACCTGGTAAGTACAGTAAAATTACTCGCACATCAATGAAGGAAGCTCTTTCGGATCCAAATGCGGAGAAATGCTTTCAAGAGTCAATGATTAATACAGAAATTTAACTAATACATTCATATATGTGAACAACTACAGCTATGTTAGATTAGAAACACTGTGGTGGGAGGAGCTCTTCCACTCATTAACTGCTTCCTTGCAGTATTCGACATGATAGTTTTGAAAAGAAACAACCTATGATCTACAGAATACTGCTTTTAATGTGTGAGCTAATAGCCTATTTTTTATGGTAAATATATGAGAACTACTACAGCTGTAATAGATTAGAAACACTGTGGTGAAGGAACTCTTCCACTTTCTAATTGCTTACTTGCATTATTCAGAATGATAGTAGTGAAAAGAAACAACCTACAATCTACAGAATACTACGACTTTGAAGGTGTGAGCTGATAGCCTAGTTTTGATGGCAAAGCCAATAAGTTTTGGTGCCACAGAAACAGAATCAAATTTTGCCTTCACCTGTGATTGAAGGCTTATGGAATGGAAGAAGGAAACCTTCGGTAGAGACCATGGGATAGACCCAAAGAAAATTCAAACAGTGGGAATCACTTTTATGTATCTAAGGATATCAGATATATGCAATTCTTAACAGAAAGTTTTTTACAATCTAAGCTTCCTACCAGTGAAGCTTGTTGGTAGGCGACTGCCAAATTTAAAATCTATCATCTAAAAAGAGGGGAGCATTAAAAATCTCCATTTAGCCAGGTATTCCTTAAAACTCAAGGATTGAGAAAGTACCACATACCAGGTGATCCATTTTTGGACTGAAAGCAACGTTGGATCCATAAGGCAATTCCCCCACAAACACCAATTCATTTGGTATTGATTTCTGAACAAGCAAGTGTCTAACACCCCTCATTGCTTCCTCATACATATCATAAAGATATGTGACATTACCATCCTGAATAGCTCGTAGCTGAAGCCACACTTTGAGTAGATACTCATAATAGCTATCACCTCGAGATCCAAGCCTAATATTTTCTCCACTAAATTCACCAGAATGAGGGCTGCATTTCATCGGAAGACGATAAAGAGAAAATAAATAAAGACTCAATGGAATGAGGACTGTACTTCCAACTAAGGAGATCTCAGGACTAGATAATCATAAATAAATAATTGTGATGGTGGTGACGATGATGATAAGTATGAAAATGATATACAAGGCTGATAAAGCATATTGACATCAGTGAATCATCTTTTGCAAAGAAATTGGTAACTGTACATACAAGAATAGGTTAGATTTATAACTGAACAATTTAAAAAGATTCTCGTTATTCAAGGTTGTGGAAATCATAAAGATATAAGACAACCATAAAAAGGGAAAATATCAAGCCGGCCTCTTCTTACATGATCTTGTAAATCATTCACGGCTAACAAAGAATTATTCTTTCTACATGTGCAATGATAAGTTGAGCACTTATAGCCTGAAAAACTGTTTCCCCTCTATCATAGACTTGACTGTGAATACATAAGGCCAATTCAATCACTGGGAAAAAGTCTCCCAGTAAAATAAATTGTGGCTAGGCTATACTAGAGTCAATAAGCAAAACGAACTTCTATCAGATAACTAAAGCGTGAAAATTATTTCAAACAGTCTATTATATGTCATGTGGTCTTTGCTCTGGACCAAATGTCCTATCCAGTCAATGACAAAACCCAAAAAATTAAAACTTTCATTCCATATCTACCAGTGAAGGCCAAGTAAATGGCAAGCACATCTAAATTCAAAAAGTGTGTGAAAAAGTTCTGACAGTCTTGGTCCAGCACACTGCTTCAGTTAAAAAGGAAATCTGTAGATAAGCTTTGCTAGGTGATGGTCAATCTAAAAACAAAAAATGAAGAGAAATGCTACTAGAAAAAGAAACAATAAAGGGAAACAACCAGTTTCGGCACAAACTCAATTTTTCTCTAGGAACAAAAATCATGATAGAGTATGAATTATTTTTAAGTAATTCTTTGTGTTCTTTTCATTTCCATTTTTTTCTTTCATAACCTAAGTCCTTTTTTTTGGCACAGCAACTGAAGAGTGCATTAATTGAAAAACAAAAGACCTGACATCCAACTGTCAAAAGCAGTCCAGTGTGTTTTGACCATCCAAAAAAGGGTAACAGACGAAAAAAAATTCCAATGATATAAATGAAAAACCTGGTTGTGACATTATTTTCTACCGTGTTTGATGACTAAAATCTGTTATCCAAGCAAAAGAAAATTTTCATCAACCTAAACTTGGCAGGCTAGAAAATCTAAAAGATGTAAAGAAGTACATGGCTGTTTAAAGTAATAATGGCTTGAAGTTGGGAATGATGGCATATTTAAAGCAAGAGAACCCACCTGATATAGATAGGAACTAGTCCTTCCACCTTTGGAAGAGTTTTCAGATGCGCCAAAACCTTCATACCTTCTGTGCTATACTTTGGATCACCAGAAATTGCACTGAGGTAATTGAACTCAAGCTGTAAAGTGGAAACTTCTGAAGTACTACTCAGTCCGTCAGGAGATGGATGAGCTGAGGAATCGCGTAGAACAACATCACTGAAAGGAATGGCAGTTGGACTGGAAGTAAAAGCAGATAGCAGACGATCAGCCAAGTTTTTTGCAATATCTAGATAAATAGTAGGTTTTGGCCCCTTGTGTGCTCTGTTCATGCCTTGATCTCCCCCACTCAAGTGATATGCACTCAATAGACCACCCAAAACCCGTATTGTGGTTTCAAATAAATTAACTTGCCCTTTCTGACTAATCCTTTCTAAGAGGTGCAACTCAATCCATGAGCCCACTTCAGAAATAACTTCATCTAGACCCATTATCATGGCAGTATCAAGAGCATCTACAACTGTGGCACCTAGACCTCCTAGCCCATCAACTCCAAGCTGGCTCACTGGCATAAGCTCATCGTAACCCATTGCAAACTTTTTATAGCCAGACCATGCATGGGTGAAAGCCTCCTTTACATTTTGTTGTCTAGCTTTCCATTTTTCTTCAAAATTTGGCTCGTTTGTTTTACCGGTAAAATTACTGTAACTAACTTTTTCATCTGGTGATAATCGAGGAGGAAGCCTGGGTGCTTTTCTTAAAAGCTTTTTAAACCTGATGCCAAAATCAGTAACTACTGAATGTTCTTCATTTGTCCTAACACCTTTTGCTACTCCATCAGAAACAGAATGTGTTCTATTTGCATGAGTCAACATTAAACATGCTAAGCCAAAGATCATTAATAACCCTAAAAACTTCCCCATACTACAACTTACACATTCACGCCTCATGTTACTAGTAAGTAAGGTTTGCGTGATCACCTGGAATAGAACATGGAAAAATAAAGAATATATTCAAATTAAACATCTACTACACCATAAAATGTTTAGCATGACAAATAAGAGGTCTAAGTAATGCAGACTCCTTAAAAATGAAACAAAATAAGCTAAGACAGCCAAATCTTTAGCAACCTTGTTAGAAAATTTTGTGATTTTTTTCTGCCATGAACACATCAGGCGATTCAGTGAATAAAGTCTCAGCGGTCAACATTTACTAAGAGTAACAATTAATAAGCTCCAAACACAAAATTAAAATCAGATCTTATACATCAAGCAATTAATTACTGATGAGAAAAATGAATTTGTCAAACTTAATATACAGCACGCTCCATACACCAAAGTTCAAAACCACATTACTCTAACCAAAAGGCTAAA